TCCAAAGAAATTATATCATACCATGTTCCCTTTGGAAAGTATGCCAAAACCTCTTTCTTTTCAGCTTCGAGAACAGGTGAAATTAGAATACCGTCGTGAATCAAAAACTGGTGCTCAATGTTGTACGTCTCCTTATCTTCCGGATATGAAGCCCACAGCGGGCGAAGAACGGGTGTACCTTTTGTCGACGATCTGTAGAATGCCGTGTACCAGTATGGCAATAGCGCATATCTCAAGCCGATATATTTTCGAGCAACTTTTTCCACTGATTCCCAAGAATACACCTCTTGTGAAGGCATCCCGATCACATTGTGATTTCTGCAAAACGGATAAAATGACCCGAGTTCGACCCATCTCATGGCCAATTCCTCGTTGCATTTATCATTGAAACCGCAGAGGTCTGCGCCCGTCAAGGGAATACAGAATAGCTGGAATGACAGTATTCCTGGAATAGAATATTGAAGATCTTCCCAAGTTGACGCGTTATCGCCTAACCAATGCGCTACATAGCGACCACTGGAAGGAAAAGTGGACCTAGAGAGGAGGAATGGACGTTTGTTTGGACGGATTTTACGTAATGATCTATATGTTGTCTGTGCTTCCATGTGACCAAAGAGGTTATGTGCATCGTATTCAAATTCGCCATTATGGTGATATGCATCCATTGGCGACGTGCGATAGCTGAGGGACAGTTCCTTCCCTCCATTATTTATTGCATATGGCGGATTTGTCATTGAAAACTCGACTTCGCTTCGTCGACACAAGCGCCGGCTGGAGTCAGAATCCCTAGAAATCTCCTTTATGTCTTCGCCAATGCCAGCAAAAACTGATTTGATTTTTGAAAATACAGATGATTCCTTTGATTCAGTGACTGTTTCTACCTCAACTGTTTCAACAATCATATGTTGGGTACTAGCTACAACTGGTTCCTGGATGTCGCTAGCAGTTTCATTAGGATTTGGGTTGTGGGCAGTTGGTAAGAAAATTGCGTCTTCACGCATGTGGGCGTTTCTTT